CGCCCCCGGGGGCGGGGAAAAGAGAAGAGGCGGAAGAGGGCACGGGGGGGAAGGGGGAGCGGAACGGAGACAGGGGACAGGGAGAGGGGAAAGGGCAAAGGAGGGAGGAAGGAGGGAGGCAGGGGGGAGGGGGAGAGGGGAAGGGGGAAGCGAGGAAGAGGTGAAAGGAAGAACGCCCTGAGCCGAGAGCGGGCTTCGGGAAAAGACAAAGACGAGGGGGCGAGGAGAGAGGGCCCTCTGGAACCCAAACTGAATTTCAAGATCATCCGAAACGACCTTCTAGAAGCCAAAACGTAAACTCTGACCTTACAAATAACCTTCTAGAACCCAAACTGGCCTTGGAGCTAAAATTACTAGAAGTTGGGCGCACTAAGTGACCTGGCCCACTAAGCCTATCATTTCCATTGAAGAACTGCCTCGCTCGAAAACAACCGTTCGAAGACCCTGAAGCATGTGAAAACATTGTTCTCGGGATTCCAACGCCACGGATCGACCTGACTGTTGCGTTTTGACGATCCTGAATCTTACCAGAACGCCACCCTTGGGACTTCATCATCGCGAATGAACGTTGTACCCTCATAATCCTGAATCTCTCCTGCACGAAATGTTTGGTCCATTGATCATGGGAATCCGTGGAACGCTTGCACATGTTATTGACGAATGTGCGCGACGCCAACGCGGGAACCACATTTTGAAAGCCAATCGCCCTCAATCCGTGAAACTCTTGCAAAATTGTAAAAAGAATGTGCGCGGCGCTGAAGCGAGAGCCACATTTTGAAAACGGTGTCCCCTCAATCCGTGAAACCCTTGCAATTGCTTAAAACGCATGTGCGCGGCGCTAGAGCGAGAGCCACAGTTTAAAAACGATTCGCCCTCCAACTGGGAACATGTTGCCAATTTTGAAACTTCAGGGTCATGAGTGGTGACGAGGTCTCAGGCGAAACGCCCGGCCCGTCCCAAAAACGAGCCTCGGGGTGTGACAGGGAGATGTTACTTCAAAGGAAAAGGAATGGAGGAGGAGGAGGAGGACCAGTGTAAACCCAAGAGTCATCAACGATGTTGGAAGCAACCCTCTCTCCAAGTTCCCCTTCACAGGCCCCTGCAATGGTTCATTTCCATTGCGAGAACTGCCTCGTTGAAGAGATCCGCTTGAAGACCTTTAAGCATGCCAAAAAACTGTTTTCGGGATTTCATGCCACGGATCAACCTGATTGCTGCGTCCTGACGATCTGGGACCATGCCAGAGCGCGACTTTCGGGACTTCAACACCGCGAACCATCATAATTGCTGCACCCACATAATCCTGAATCCTTCCAAAACACCATGTGTGGTAGGTTGGTCATGGGAATCCGTGAACCCCCTGCACTTTGCTTCAACGAATATGCGCCGCGCTAAAGCGAGAACCACCTTTTGAAAAGGAGCCGCACTCAATCCGTGAAGCTCTGGCAAATTTGTAAAACGAATGTACGCGGCGCTAGGCGAGAGCAACGTTTTGAAAACCACCCGCCCTCAATCCGTGAAGTTCTTGCAAATGTTTAAACGAATGTGCGCGGCGCTGAGGCGAGAATCACATTTTGAAAACCACCCGCCCTCAATTCGTGAAGCTCTGGCAAATTTGTAAAACGAATGTGCGCGGCGATACAGCGGGCTACCACATTTTGAAAACCACCCGCCTGCAATACGCGAAACTCTTGCAATTTGGTTTAAACGCATGTACGCGGCGCTGAAGCAAGAGCCACATTTTGAAAACCACCCGCCCTCCATCTGTGAAACTGTTGTCATGCTCTAAGCATCGGAATCGTAAATGGTGAGGATGTTTCAAGCGAAACGCCCGGCCCGCCCAAAAAACTAGCCTCCGGGTGCGACAGGGAGAACTTATTTATGAGGAGAAGGAATGGAGGGGGCGAAGGAGGAGGAGGATGAGGTGGAGGAGGAGGGGGAGAGGGAGGAGGAGGAGGAGGGGGAGGAGGAGGAGGAGGAGGAGGAGGAGGAGGAGGGAGGAGGAGGAGGAGGGGAGAGAGGAGGAGGAGGAGGGGGAGAGGAGGAGGAGGAGGAGGAGGAAGAGGAGGAGGAGGAGGAGGTCGGTCGGTCGGTCTATCGCCATATGATCCAGATGCTCACTTACCTTGCACAGCGTGGGATCGGCGTGCGAAGTTCGGCACGTCGATGGACGCAGCCGAAAATTTATATTGTAGGCGGCTGGGCGGCGAAGCGGCGGCGATGAGCAAGGGGGGACAGGCGGGCGCAGGATCAGAGCGGGGTGCCCACGACATCGTGGCCAACGGAGTGATGATGGGCGAGAGCGGGAACACAACTGCAGTAGAAGGGGGAGCAGGAGGGGAGCAAGCAGCAGCAGGAGCAGAGCACATCAACGGAGCGAAGGACGGGGGAAGAAGAGGCGACGGCGATAGGCCTTTTCCAGTTTGCCCCTCACGAGTTGGGGTGCCTGCCGTCGGAGAGGCCGTTGAGGGAAGTGTCGCCCTCTGTGAGCCCGATGCCGCCGAGGACGGTGAGCAGGGAGCAATACACGGTGACGGCGCCACTGGAGTCGGCGAGGCCGCTCTCAAAGTCCCCGCAGAGCATGAAGCCGGTCCTGACAAGGTCATTGGAGCACAGGACGCCGAAGTTGAAGCAATACCCGATACAGACAATGTCGATCTCGGAGAATCTGACAGGAGGTCGTGCCCAGAGCCAGCTCGAGACCCGTACTCACAATTTAAGCCAGTAGAGACTTCAGGCTCGCAATATACTCGGGGAACCTGGGCAGGCGGGCTCGAGGAGCACCCACCCACAGGATTTTGCGTACTGACGCCAGCAAGAGACGTGATCTCACAACTTACTCCTGAGCCCTTATTTACATCAGAGGCGGTCGACCTCCGAGCTCGAGACAGAGGCTCGCAACTTACTCCAGAGCCGTTATTTCCAACAGAGGCGGTCGACCTCCGCGATCTAACGCCAGTGGCCGAGGAGGAGGAGGAGGAGGAGGAGGAGGGTGAGGAAGAGGAGAGGTGACCGCAGCACACACCTTTCCGCGATCGGGGGCGCCCGCCCCAGAGGGCGGCCGGAGAGCTCGTTCCCCCCGCCTGCCGCTACGGGCGGCACGGCCTCCCCAGGGCCGCCCGCGGGACGGGCGCCCGCCACGACGTCTGGGCGGGCCTCCGTGGAACCTGGCGGCGTCGGCACGTGGCACCCGCGGGGAGGCCGCTGATGATAGCGATGGTGATGGTGGTGGTGGTGGTGATGGTGGTGGTGACGATGGTGATGATGATGGTGCTGCTGATGGAGATGATGATGATGCTGATGCGGATGATGATGCTGATGCTGATGGTGATGGAGATGATGCTGCTGATGATTATGATGAGTATGATGCTGATTATGCGTATGACGACGCCGCTGGTGACGACGACGAAGATGTTGATGGTGATGATGGTGGTGATGGTGACGTAGATGACGATGATGATGGTGACGACGATTATGATGCTGGTGGTGATAATTATCACTATGTAAGAAATGATGGTGGTGATGACGATGCTCATGGTGGTGATGTAAATGTTGATGAGAATGGTGGAGACGATGATGATGATGATGATAATGATGATGATGCTGGTGGTGATGATGGTACTGATGATGATGCTGATGCTGATGCTGATGCTGATGATGATGATGATGATGATGATGATGATGGTGGGGTGGGGTTGATGATGGCGACAACTCCGATGATTACCGTGGTGATTGTGATGATGACTATGTTGATGATGACGATGATGATGGAAATGATGATGATGGTGTTGATGATGATGGTGGTGGTGATGCTGATACATCGGCCCAATGAAAGTTCCTGGAATTTTCATCACGACGCTGGCCGGCGGAAGTCGACGGAAGTAAAACGAGGCGGAAGACGGGGGAAGGCCGCCGGAAGGCTTGCCAATGTCAGCGGAAGTAAACGACGCCCCTTCCGAACCCCCTACCCCCGTAGAAGCCTAGCAAATGTTGTCTTCCTCCGTGGGCCGGGCGGGATCCCGCCTGGCTTATTCCGCTTTTTATATTATAAGTTTAGTTCAGGACGATCAAAATCCCACCCGTTAAAAATGGGGTAGACCAAAATCCCGGGCCGTTCACGGATCCCACCATGCTGGGATCGGCTCGAAGTCAGTATTATTGCCGTGTTGGGATCGTCTCGAGGTCATCTTGAGATCCTATCCCTGTCATGTTTGGATCACGCAACCATCGCGTGGTCATTATGAGGCCACTCTGGGTGCGCTTGGATCAGGAATGTTGCCATCGGGCCATCTCGGCGTCACGCGTCGATCATGTGTTTCGTCATCTGCGAGTCGGCCTGAGACGGTCCAGAATCCATGGCGGGATCGCGTTTGGGTGGCATCATCCTGGGTCCTCTGGACGTTATCGTCCGTGGCCTGAGGCATTCCTGGAAGCATGTCGTGGCCATGGGACGTCTTGGGATCCCGTGCGTGCGAACGCTGAGCACGCGCGCGCGACTTTTCATCATGCCGACGGGTTTAGATACATATTATTCCTCTTGCGAGGTTCCAAGGAAATTTTTGTTGGAGCCAAGTAGTGGTGATGGTGATGGCGATGACGATTGTGATGATGATGGTAATGTTGATGATGATGAGGAGGAGGAAGATGGTGGTGATGGTGATAATGATGATCATGATGATGATGATGATGAAGATGATGAAGATGATGATGATAATGATGATGATGATGATGATGATGATGATGAGGGTGGTGATGAACATAATACTAATGATGAAGATGATGATGATTATGATAATGATGATGATGATGATGATGATGATGATGATGATGGTGGTGGTGGTGATGATGATGAGGATGAGGATGATGAGGATGATGAGGATGATGAGGATGATGAGGATGATGAGGATGATGATGATGATGATGATGATGATGATGATGATGATGATAATGGTGGTGGTGGTGGTGGTGGTGGTTGTGGTGGTGATGATTGTGGCGCCGGCCTGGCGACGTCAACACGTGGCAACCGCGGGGCAGCTGCAACTCCGCGCGCCCGTCGAGGCCCGTCTCGTCCGCCCGGCAGCCGCCGATGCAGAGCGCCACGCCAGCCAGCGGCCGGCCGCAGCAGGGGGTCTGCACGCGCACCTCGGCCCAGACATGATCGCGTCGTCCTCCTCCGACTCCGCCTCTTCCTCCTCCTCCTCCGCCTCCTCCACCTCCGCCTCTTCCTCCTCCCCGGCGGCCGAGAATCGAGGGGGGGGGAGCGCAACCCCGATGTGGTCACGTCGTAAAATACTCAGGGCGGGAGGTGTTTGGCCGTTTACGGCCTCGGGGGGCCCTCGCTGGGCCTCGGGAGCGCCAAAAAATAACTTTGGACGAAAAACCGGCCCCGGGGAGAGGGTCGAGACTTCCAGGGAGCCCGGGGAGGTCAACGCCATTGGTGTCCCCTTCGGTTTTTGAAGGTTATTGAGGTTCTCGCCTTTTCGGGTTTCCGACCATCGAAGACGACCCAAGAGGCTTTTAAGAGGCCTCCAAAATAGCTCCGACACAGCCCCAGAGGCCGCTAAGAGGGCAATCGGCCCAAGAAAACCCACAAATCGTCCAAAAACCTCCCAAAAAGGCGCCGAGACAACCGTGAACCGCTACTGAATCTGGGCCAAGCTATCAGGCTAGCGTAGCTACGCAGAGGCCCGTTTGTGCTGCCACCACGCCTCGTCGAATAATAGTCGTACGATTGGCTTCAGGTGATTCTCCAAATGTACAAGGCAGACTTACCACATGTTGGCGGCCTACCCTGCTGGGTGCGATCACACGCGGGAGTCTGCAATCGCAGGAATAACAGCAGGCGGCAAATATACGAGCAGTCTAAAACCAAGCTGACATGAAAGCGTGACGAGGGTCAACCATAAGGGAATGCCTCTTACCATCGCCACGTTGGGGTCTCATTTTGAGCTCCAGATCCACGCGAAAACTCTCGCGCCTGCACTGGGAGGCCCGCAGCGTGTCGGATCCCGCCGCGCAGCTCCCGTGGTAAAGAATGGCCCTCCGAAGGTCCACACCACACTCTGAATTCCGTCTGGCCCTGGCCATCCAGGGCCTCCCGCGCCCCACCCCCAACACTTCTAGAGGAAAGAGGATTCTGCACATACACCGGTTCTGGCCATGCCCACCCTGAGCCCATGCTCGGTGCACACTGCTTCCTGCCTTGGCCAGGAAGGCGTATGCACCAATCCTGAGCCCAGGATGGGCCTGGCCAAGATCGGTGCAGGTGCATAGTTCTCTTCGCCCGACACCTCGGCATCCCCGCCTCTGACTCGCATCCACTCAGGGACGTATCTCGATCGGGTCTGGCTGCGTTCGTTGCCTGTTGCTCACGGACGCTCCGAATACATCCCGGGCCTCGTCGCTCGGCGAGAAAGAGGAAGAGGAACGGAAAAAGAAGGAGGGGCTCACCGGCTTGGATGGATCTGGATTCGGTCAACAAGAGGGCCGCCAGTCGGCACAAAACAACAAGGCTGAAGCGCATGGCGGCATCCAGCTGCTCCCGGAGAGGACCCCAGCATACGCTAAGCCAATGCCAATCCTACCAGCCCTCTGGGCTTAGCTGGCACAGCGGATCTTTTCTTTCCTCTTCCAACCACCCGACTTCCCCTGCTCAATGGCCCCTCCATCCCGCTTCCCGGGTTGTCCTGGAGGTTGCTCGAGGGGCTAGAGTACCCAAGATGTTCTCCCTCCTCAGTGGCACCACTGTTGCTCCTGCTCCTGCTCCTGCTCCTCCTCCTTCTCCTCCTCCTCCTCCTCCTCCCCCTCCTCCTTTTCATGATCCTCCCCCTCCTCCATGTACACATGTATAGATATATACATATACATGTGTCTATCCATATACTGATTTCTCTCTCTCTCTCTCTATATATGTATATTTATCGATGTCTATGTCAAACTACTTCTCTATACATATATATATATATAGAGCTACCAAACTATATTTGTACATATATAGGTGTATGTATGTATGGCTCCAGGCGGCCTCCACGACGCTCCGAGGCTCACAAGACGACTCGCCTGGGCATCGGCTCTGGGTGGGCTGGTGGGGGCAATTGCGCAGATCGTGAAGAGCCTACAACTTGATGGCTTGGCGCCTCTTCTTTTTCACATCGACTCACGCGTGCTGGCAGGCTGGCATCTCCGAGACTTTCGGGCCTCAAAAGCTCGGGTGGCATAGAGGCTGGACTGTAAGTGATGTGCCGAACGTGCGTCGGACGCCTCGCCTGGCGGCGTTCAAGACTGACCGGCGTAGCGGTCGAGCGGAGTCCTTGCCCCGCGCGGATCCGCTGCGGCAGGCCGTGTGCAAACAGCTTGGCTATGCTGCTCAGAGCTCATCCTGGCCCTGGGGAGCGCCAGGACGGACTGCGCGCCTGCCTGCGCGCCACAGGGGGGACGCCTTCTGAAGCATCGCCGTCCCGAGGAACGTGTGCCTCCGGACCTTGGCCCTGGAGGCCTGCACGAGGTCTGCCCCGCACCACGTGTGGTTGAACGTGTCGCACCAGCTCTTAGACTCGGCCCAGCACACCTTGTTCGACGGGGTCATGCACGCGGAGCACGGGGCGCCGAGGTAGTCCAGGCACGGGGCCGCGCCAGTGGGCGAGGGCGTGGCCGCGGGCGTCGGCGTGGGCTCGGGCTCTGGCGCCGGCTCGGGCGCAGGTCCAGGTCCGCCCACGCATTGGCATAATCCTGCGTCGGCGCAGGGCCACCAAGCCTGCCCGCTGGCGCACGCCGAGCAATCCTCGTCGCTGGCGGCCTGGGCGTTGCCAGGCACCGCGGCGCACTCGTTGCAATCCGTGCAGAACCCAGCGGCCGGGGCAGGAGGCGACGGTGCCAGCGTCGCCGACGGTGTCGGAGCTGGAGTGGCCGCGGCCGTCGGCGCCGGCGTGGCCACGGCCGTCGGCGCCAGCGTGGCCACGGGCGTTGGCGCCGGCGTGGTCACGGGCGTCGGCGCTGGCGTGGCCGCGGGCGTTGGAGCCGACGCCGCGATCTTGAAGTCGGCGCAATTCCGGAACGCCTCAGGGTACGAGCTGGGCGAGTTGCCCGTCATGTACAGCCACTGGAGGGTGCACGGCGCCTCCTGCGTGCAGACGAGCTCCTGGGGCAGGAATACCCGCAGCCTGTACTTGCCGCTGGCGCCGGCGGCGCTTGGGCTGGGCAGCGTCCAACGCACGCTCTGCCCAGCGCCAGGGTCGCCGCAGTCCCCGCCGTTGTTGCAGCAGCTGCCCTCTGGCGCCCAGATCTCGGGGTACTGCAGCTTCTGGCTAGCCGAGATATCGTCGCCAGGCCCGTCGCAACGGACGCTCGCGTGCGTGCCAGCATAGTCGGCGGGGTCTGCCGGGGCGCCTGCCATCCCAGTCCCCATGGGTGCGCCTCCGTACAGGCTCCTGGCCTGGGCGACGTCAAAACGGAGCACGTCCTGGTTGAAGCACTCCTGGGCCACGCCCTGCCCGTTGTGGCCGCGCCCACCCTCGCGGCAGAGGCGGAACTCGAACCAGCCCCAGTGGTGAGCCGTGACCTCAACCTCGACCTCAATCGAGCTGTCCGTCGGATCGACCTGGACCTCGCTGAAGGGCGCCGCCAGCGCCCGGTCGATGCAAGAGCCGCTTCCTCCCAGCCCGTCGCACGCGGTGCTGCTGAAGTTCGTGGAGAACGCGTTGCGCCAGTAAACGTCCCCGCAGACGCCAAGCTTGGGTGCTGGATTCACGCCTCCCGACGTCATGTACTCGTGCACCACCCCATCCTTGCACGTCACGCAAGCTTCCTCGACGGAGGCCAAGTTGCCCGCGCAAGCGACCCAGCACTGGCTCTGGAAGTCGATGACGCCGCCCGCGCCCTGGCAGCCGTTCATGTTCATAGCGTTCCCAGCGCTGATGTCACACTGGCCGGCACCGGGATTCGTCAGTCCCACCCCGTAGGTCGGGCTGAGGAGCATCTGCCGCGCGACTGGCTTGGTCAAAATACCGTGCCCCGAGGCCAGCGGAGTCCAACCGGCAACTACCAGAAGGATCATGACGGTCATGGTCGTGACAGGAGAGGCGCACACAGACACCAAAAAGGGGCGGGCTTGTTCCGATCGGCTAGTTCCGAGTGTTTGAGCCAGCAGCGGTATGTGTGTGTGTGTGTGTGCGAATGTGTGTGTGGTGTTTTGCTTCTTTGCTCGCTCTTTCTGTTTTTTTGTCAAGTCATATTCTGTTCGCATGCCTCTGCATACCCGCCGCTGGATGTAAAGGCAAACTCTGCAAATGCTAGGTTAGCCAGCGCGGATCTCAAACAGTGAGCTGTTGCAGTGCAGGTGAAACATGTGTGGTGTAATATATGTGGTGTGAGCTCTGTTCTGAACGCTTTGCGGTGTGCGCTACGTGGTGCAAGCCAGGTTGTGTAAGCACTGTGGGGTAATCTATTTTGCGTCAGCTATGTGGTGTGACCTATGTATTGTTAACTGTGTTGTATAAGCGATGTTGTGCATGTTATGTGGTGAGTCACATGGTATAAAAATGTGGTGTAAGCTTCGATGTCTCAGGCGGGAGCCTCATTTTTGAGAACACGACGAATTCGCAAGCTCCCTGGACATCTCCGGTGTTCGAGGACGTCGCGGGCGAGAGCTGCATTTTCCCTCGCGAGTTTGCTCTTTATTTATTCCTTTGTCAACATCGCCTGACAAACTCCCATCGCCTTCTCGTTACGAGAAGGCGCTGCCCGTCATCCGCCGACCCTGGCGGCGTGTGTGAGGGGCTTCCCCGTTCGAGTCGGGCTTTTCTGTCAGAGTCGTCGTCTCCGTCGTCCTCCATTCCAGTTCTCTGGGCCCTCCTCCTCAAACGCGCCATCCAAAGCGATTGAGCAACGTCGGTGAAGTCGAAGGGAAGCCCCTTCCCGTTGATGCCTTCCCCGCGGGGGGGGAGGGTTCCGGGGGGTCCCGGGGGGGTCCCCGGGGTGTCCTGCGGGTGGTCCCGGGCCGGGGGGGGTCCCCACCCAGATATACGCTTCCCCCCCCCCGCGCCCCCCGCGCGGTCCCGGAAGCCCGAAGACGTCACCAAGAGTTCTCGAGGATCCACGAGACCCCCAAGAGGCCGGCGGCGCCCCAAGAGTCTCCAACAAGGTGCCCTGACGGGGGAACCGAACGGACATTTCGAGCCCTCGGCCCCGAAAGGATCCCAGGAGGCCCCAAGAGGCCCCAAAAGGCCCCCAGGAAGCCTCAAGAGGCTCCCAAGAGGCTCCCAAGAGGCTGCCAAGAGGCCCCCAAGATGGCCCCCAGGGGCCCCAACACTGCCTCCCAGAGGCCTCCGAGATCACCCCGAAGAGACCCTAAACAGCATCCCTGAGGACTCTGCCCCACGTCAGCGTCGTCGCCGCCGCCGCCGCCGCCGCCGTCGTCGCCGTCGTCGTCGTCGTCGCCGTCGCCGTCGCCGTCGCCGTCGCCGTCGCCGTCGCCGTCGCCGTCGCCGTCGTCGTCGTCGTCGTCGTCGTCGTCGTCGTCGTCGTCGTCGTCGTCGTCGTCGTCCCCCTTCAGGGTCGGCGGCACCGGCCGCAAGGCCTTCGCAATAATAGGGACACGATCGCGCACGGCCCTCCCTCCCTCTCTCCTCTCTCTCTCCTTCCCTCGGGGCCTGCCCGAATCCCGCCGCGCCCGCGACGGCACCGCCTGGGTGCAACCCCATGGGCAAGGCGGGCGGGGCAGCGCGCGACGGCGCGCCGAACGCGCCGCCCGCGGCGCACCCGCCGCCTCGTCCGGAGGCGTGAGGCGCCGCAGCCCCTGCCTCGCCCCCCAGGCCTGCCCGACGCCCTCTTCCCGCCGCGCGCGCGCACCCGGACGACGCCCATGCGGTCGACGTGCGGGGTCGTGATGCAGTTCTGCGGGACGCTCAGGCGCGCGTTCTTCCCGCCGGCGCCCGCGACCACGTAGCCCGGCGGGCAAAGGACTGCCTGGGAGATTGCCCTGTGTATGATTTCTGGCAGCGGTCGTGGACCGGGGCAGGCGTGGCCCCAGGCAAGAGTCAACGCTTTCGGGCGGGGTGGGGCACGTCGGGGCGGGGGCTGCGCTGCGATCGCCACAGCATGCGCGCGAGCACCAGCATGTGAGGGGATCCAGCCATCCCCTCCCCGACCCTAAATTTGGACGCCCGAAATGGGTACGGAAAGAATGGGTAATATTGCCCAACAACAAATGTTGTCCCAAACCAACAGCGGCCGCGGTTGGTCAGGCGGCCTTTTGTCTCGAGTGGACACAGGCCGCGGCGGCGTGGACAGCGAATCCTGTTCAAGATGAACAGGAACTGCTGTTGGGCATTGTACCCATTCTTTCCGTACCCACCTCGCGCGTCCAGACTGAACGTGCGACCGTTTCCCCGGGGGGGTGGGAGTTGGGCCCCGACGTGACGACGTCGTGGCGCGCCAGAGGATTGGAAAGCAAAACTCTCTGGGCCTCGGGGGGGGGAGTCCAGACGTCCGCCGCACGAAGCTTTCGTCCCGGGTCAATGTCTGATGGCCCCGTGGCCCGAAAACGGGCACCAGCCCCAAGCCCTGAGCCCTAAACCCCATATCGTCAGAGATCCGAGCTTCGGCCCAGGAGGCCAGACAGCACAGCCCCCTTGACGGGCCTCGCCGCCCAGAACTCTCCCGGGGTGCGCTCCGACGCGGACTTCGAGGCGGAGCCGGCCTGGACGACGAGGGCCTCCCAGGAGGTCAAACATGCGAAAACGACGGAAGGGCAGCGGGAGCGGCGCCCTCCTCCCAGCGGCTGCACGCTGGAGCGACCCTGGGCAAGAGTGGCCTTGGATGCGCGGCTTTGGTAAGCGCGAGGGGGTCAAATCCAAGCGCCCAGGCCGCTGCTATCGCATCGCATCCAACGATCGGGGAGGCCCCGGTGGGCCCGCACCAAAGGTCACTCCGGCGAAGGGTCACCCTTACGCGAAATCAATCCGACGCTCCTGGCTGACGTCGTGATGTTCTCATGACGTGGACTCCCAGCGGTCTGGATCCACTTCCCAGGACCCGGTTTTCATCCCAGGGCCGTTTTGTTGACGGCCCGAGGGCCGGGGGTCCCCAGAGGGCGGGCAGCCGGGGGGAGTGAGAGGGGGCGGGCCTTCTCAGAAGGCTCGGAAGTTCGCGGGCCTTCTGAAAAGCTTTCTGAGCCCTTCCCCGAGACAGAGAACACTTTTCAAAGGCCGGAGGCCAGGGGGGCTTCTGAGAAGCCCCGCCGCCTTCTGAAAAGGCCTTCTCCTTCTCACTTCCCCCCCTCGCTCGCCGCCGAGAACCTTGCGAAAAAACCTCCGCCATTGGGGAAGACCAACAGGCACCGATACCACTACTCCCCAGACCTCTCTCGGGTTGCGTTCTGACCAGAATGTCGAGGCGAATCCAGCGGTGGCGACGAGGGCCTCCTAGGAGGCCCAAAAGGCGAAAATCATGGAAGGGTGGCAGTATGGGTGCAGTCGAACCTAGGACAGAAGAACGTCCCTCAAGAACACGAGACCCTACACCGGCCAAAACACAATGAACAGCCAAGGGCACCCTCCCCAGGGTGCACAAGAACGTCCAACAATCACGAGGAACCTTAGGGCACCCTCCCCGAACCGGTCTCGATCTTCTACGTCGGTCCGACTGTACCTTTTGCTCCTCTGAGCCATGATTTCTTCGTGGCCCGACGGGGTCTGGGTTCTGTGCCCCTGAGATCCGACGTTGCGAAAAACATGCTACATACTGTCAACCACAAACGGATCCCCAGACCCGATCGTTCTGCATCTGCAATCTTTCAAGTCCGATCGATCTGTGAGGGTCCCGAGGCCCGAAACGGGGCGACCCCCCACAGTGCGACAACGTTGTAACTCCAGTGCCTCAGGGAAGGTGCAGCTCGAAGGTGCACCTGCGACAACGTTGTAACTCCAGTGCCTCAGGGAGGATGCGACGTCAGGCTCTCAGGGGCCATGATTTGTTCGTGGCCCGACGGCCCGATGGGGTCTGGGTTCCCAGACACATGCGACGTTCTGTTTTTTTTAATGCGGGGTCCCTGGAAGTCCTGACCCCTTGCCCGGGACCAGTTTTTCCTCGTGGGTCGTTTTTTGACGTTCCCGAGGCCCGGCGGGGCCCCCTGGAGGCCAAAAATAACGGAAAACCTCCCGTCGTGACTTCTTTCTCAACGCGAGGGTCTGGGGGTGTCTGGGTTCTGGGCCCCTCCCGGAGGCCAGCCAGCACAGCCCCCGCGACGGGTCGGGCCGCCCGCGCTCCGCCGGGCGCCCCGCGAGGCTTAGCGGCAACATGGCGCAGCCCTCGGCGACGCTGCGCCGCGCCGCGCCCAGCTCGCCGTCCGCGACGGCGACGAAGGCCACCTTCGAGCAGGGACCGACCGTCCTCCTCCTCCTCCTCGCTCCTCCTCCTCCTCGCTCCTCCTCATCCTCGCTCCTCCTCCTCGCTCCTCCTCCTCCTCCTCGCTCCTCCTCCTCCTCCTCCTCCTCCTCCTCCTCCTCTCCTCCTCGCTCCTCCTCCTCCTCCTCCTCCTCCTCCTCCTCCTCCTCCTCCTCTGCTCCTCCTCTCCTGCTCCCTCCTCCTCCTCCTCCTCCACCTCCTCCTCCTCCTCCTCCTCCAGAGTGTGAAGTTTCACGGGTTGTGGGCTCCTGAAGGTCAGCAGCTGGAGGAGCTGCACGGTTTATTTCATGGCATACGAGCTCGAATTGCGGAGGAGCCAGTCCCGCTTATGTCAGGCGAGCAGCTCCGAGCGGCAGGCGGACGCATGAAGCAGACTGCGGCCATGGGAGTCGATCGCCCCACGGCGCACGACACAGACAGGCTCCCCGACTGCGCGTTCGAGGAGCTAGCGGTGGTCCTCGCGGCGTGTGAGAGCTGTCAGGCGTGGCCGCACCAGCTGCTCTTGGCGATCGGCACGCTGTTGCCGAAGAAGGTCGCGGGCGACAGGATCATCGGCCTGTTGCCCCGCATTGCGCGGCTCTGGTCCCAGGCGCGAGAGCCCTGGGTGCGTTCGTGGACCGAGGACTGCGAGGCGCCGTGGGATGCCGCGATCCGCGGCAATGCAGCGCTGCAGGAGGCGTTCACCCGCGTGGTGGACGAGGAATTTGCGGCGCGCTTGGGCGTGGCCCATGGCCGCGGCTTGCTGGACATCGCCAGCTTCTACGACTCCATCGGATGGCCCAGGCTGGGCAAGACTGCCCTGCGGCTAGACTTCCCAGCGGAGGTCCTGGGGTTGGAGTTGATTCAGTGCATGGTGGCGCGGTGCCTTCGACAGTCGGGCGCCTACTCAGAGGCCTTCGCCCCGACGAGGTCGGTGCCACAGTTCATGTGCAGCTATCACATAGGTTGTGGATCGACGATTTGAGTCAGATTGCGAAAGGATCGAGGCGAGCTGTGCGTGATCGACTTGTGGCATGTCTGAAGGAGACGCGCATCCTGATGCAAAGAGAGGGCCTCAAGATCTCCCCACAAGAGCGTGGTGGTCTGCACCAAGCTCGCGGATGCCAGAGAGATCGTGAGGCGCCTCAGAGCGGTCGGTTTCTCGGTGACAGCGGCGGCGCAGACTCCGTATCTCGGCGTTGATGTTGGCGGTGGGCGACGACGCGTTCGTGCGACCAGGACGGCAAGAGCAGCTCGTCACCAGAGAATGCACAGTAAGGTCGTGAAGTACGCGCGCACGGCGCGCAGGTGCAGGCTGACGGCGCGACTGGAGCAGCAGGGCGCAGCACCCGCGGGGACATGCGCCCATCAGGTTCATGGAGTTTTCGGCCACAGAATCAGGCAGATGAGGACTTCCCTGCGCGCTGCATCTAGCCCTCGGCTCGCAGGGCGATGCGTTGCGACGCTGCTGGACTTGCGTGCCCCAGGGAGCGGTCCAGCATACCGGCTGCCACGGGAGTGCCTGCAGATTTGGATTCGGACATGGTTCGCGCAGCCCTCGACGCGTAGCGGCATCGAGCGAACTTGGAGGCAGCTCGCCCAAGAGTTTCGCTCCATGAGTCCGCAGCGGCACAGCCGCCACATACGAGGGCCGCAGGCTGCAGTGATTGCCTACCTTCTGCAGGGGGGGGGACTGGGAACCAGAGGGGCCAGTCGACTGGCGCGTTCAGGGCGACGGGCCGGAGACCCGGCGCAACTGGCAGTTCAATCCAGAGGCTCTCACAGGTTTTGAAAAGGTTGATGTGCCCGAGGCCTTCTTGCAGGAGTACGAGGGCGCCGTCGTGCAGAGGTTGCGGCGTCAGGCCGCAACTCATTCTGATAGCGCTGGCACGGAGGGGGGATCTGCAACTTCTCGTTCCGAGCACTTCTCCGCCAATTAGAGGAGGCGCCCAGCGGCGGACAGCTGTCGGGCATCCTTTTGTCAGCGGCGGCAGGAGCAGCCTGGCCGCGAGAGCGCAGGTGTGAGAAATCCAAGTTGCCAGTATCTCAGACTTGTGCCCGACGTCGCAGTGAGAGTGTTCGTTCTACCGCATGTGGACTCGTTCGAAGTTCGTTGATCATGACATTTGCATACTCTCCGATGAGTATGCCCCTAAGGCCCACACGCAGCACGAAGTTGAGCCGTGTTTTTGGCATCGAGGCCTCTTGCCGCGATCGTGGGTCTCAGTTCCGCCCCCACAAGAGGAGGCTGTCTGGTGGAGCGAGGCATAAGGTCGTTCGAAGATAACTGTTTCGGTCGCAGCTCGGTTTCGGCCCCTGTCTGTCTCTTCGGGGATGCCAGCGGGGGCGAAGATACCAGCGACCCTCGGCTCCGTTGAATGGGCTGCGGCACAGCAGAGTATTCTGATATTTCCTAGAATGCGCAGCTGGCGGCGTCTGCGTGGGGGGGGGGGGGGGGGGGGCCAGGACCCCAACAGGCTGTAGCCAGGGGTGAGCTTTACAGCTTCCTGTCTGCGCTGATCGGCGCCGATGGAATTGTGATATATACCACAGATAAGTCGAATGTCTGTTCGGGATGGTATTGTGGCCGAGCGTTCGGCCCTGATGGGGGGAACGCGGATTTGTGGCACCAGGTTGGTCAGGTTCTAAAGAGAAAGCCACAGCTGTGTTGCACGGCCCTTTTCGTTCATTCCAATCAAGAGGCTCGGGGCGTCGTCCAGGACAGAACCCCTCTGTGTTTGGCTGTGGGGAACGCGGCAGCGGACAAGCTTGCCGAAGCCGCTGCCAGAGCTGTCCGCACCCCTGCAGACATCAGGAACACTGTTTTCACGAGTGAAAGCATGGCTTTCGCCGTCCGCATGAAAATTTTGTTGGCCACCTTGGAAGCTGTAAAAGCCCAGCAGGCCCTGGCGATCGAGGAGCCCCGATGAACCCGAATCAGGAATCCTGGGTCCAGGCCGCCAACACCTGTGGTGTGCAAGGGGTTTCCCACAGCGCATACGTTATCTGAAGCAAGCTCTCTTGGCGAAAGTGTAGGAGCTCCACGACCAAAGCTCGGCGAGAGAACTTGTTGGATACCCCATGCTTTGACCTGAAGGCTATAGATGGCGTAATTTTCAGGCCGCCCCCCCCCCCCCCGTTACAGGGTGCACATGTCGCGTGACCGGAATTATGGACGTAGAACCATACGGAACTATTGACTCTGGATGTTCTGGCGGCGGTCCTTCCATCCGGTCTGAACTGTGCAGTGGAGACTTCGGCGGGAGATCCTGCGACAGCAGCGCCAATCTTTTTGACACTGCAGTGCGCTCGTAGCAAGAGGTGCGTTCGGTGAGGTCTCTGCGTGAGGACTCCCTGGAAACAAGTGGCTTGAGCCACATGTCGACAGATCGGCATACTGTCTCCTGCGAGCACTGTACGTGGCCACTGGAGGAAGAGGAGCAGAGAAAAAATACATTCACTACACTTACATAAGCTTAAAATGATGGGAGAAGAGAAGCGCCCTCGAGGGCTGGCCTCTGCCAGCGAGCCTTTGTCTGCCAGCGAGCTTCTGTCTGCCAGCGAGCTTCTCGTCTTCCCGCGAGCTGTTCGTCTGGGTTGCCCTCTCTTGTAGCCTGCTTCGCAGGCAAACGAGCGCGGTTACCTTCGCTACAGTGGCGCGGCCCCTGCTGGAGTCTCTTCTCCAACAGGGCCGCGCCGATGCCTGCACGTTCGCGCCGCAGAGGTTCTAGCAAGGAGGAGGGGAGAGGAACTAATTAATTACACGCAAATTTGAAATACACTACTACAACACAAGAGCTGCACTATGCCTCACGCACCGTGCAGCGCAATGCCGTGCCATGCAGTGTTTCACGCCGGCGGCCCGTGGGGAGTCGGAAGGTTGCCCTCCCGACGGTCGGAAGGATGCCCTCCCGACCAAACCCCACAAGCTCAGATCTCGCTGGAATACGTGCCCTGGGATCTGCTCACAAGCTCCCCCCATCCGCGTGTCCAGAAAACTGCAGCGGATGTCCCAATGAGCGGTCCCACAGAACTGCGACAACTACAGCTGCTGCTCTCCCCGCTCGAGTGCCGCCCAACGCCGCTCCGACGATCCAGGACGGCATCGCTTCTTCCCACGACGCTTCTTGCCGTTCGGCTTGCTCTCGGGGTTCGTCTCCTCCGCCTCGTCCTGTTCCTTGAACTCGGTAGGCTGCTGAGGATCGTCGCTGTGAAAGACGATGACCTTCCGGATGGTGGCTGACTCGTAAACGGAACGACGCGGTGCCTGCGCTCCTGGTGGGACCGGGGGCACGCCTGTCGACGGCGAGCCTTGCGATGCAACCACGCGTCGCCGCGTTGCCGGGGCCAGGTCCCACACCTCGTCGATGACCTTCTGCACGTCGTCCTTGCTCAGCCTGTGGTGCCTGACGAAAGAGATGTACAACTTATGCCAGTTACCCTCGTGATTCTTCAAGATTGCAGGGAGGAACGACACTCTCTCCAACGCGGCCCACTTCCGGTTCAAGGCCTCCAAGATGTGGGCCCACATGGGGTGGTCCCTGGGCAGCCCTGGGTCCACGACGTCGTCTGGGAGTTCCACCGGCACGGACGGACCATCTCCAGCAATGTCACCGCGATTAGCGGGGCCAGGCGTGACCGACGTGCGGTGAGCCACGGCCCTGGTGGGGAAGTTCCCGGTCATAGCCTCGATCAGCACCTGGATGACGTCAGCGGCGGCCAGTTTCGTGAGTGCATCCGCCACCATCTCCTTGGTGGGGCAATGCGTGATCTTAACCCGGCCCTGCTGGCTCTCTTCCAGGAGCCGCTTTGCCCTGACTGCGTAGTAGCGCGTACGCCACGTCGCCCCGAAAGAGGCCGCTGTCAAGGCCGCCCGGTTGTCGATCATAATCTCCACGTGGCTGGGGCAAATGCC